GTCAGACGGTTTCTACGAAGTGAAACCAGCTGATGAATCTGGCTAGATTGTGACAAGGCAACCCAAAAAAACCTCTTGTGACTCACCTGAGGGTCACGATCCAGTCTTTGGGAAACAATGATCTAAGACACCCATGGATCATTATGTTATCATCTGGACATTTTAAATCACAATATTGAGCTAAAACAATTTAATAAAAGAAACAAGATCGATGACACCCGCGAATAGGAGCTGACGTTGCCGTAAACATCATTAGAACAAAAAATCTGCAATTAAAGCTCCAACATGCACAAATCACTCCCAGTACAACTTTGGCTTTGTAAATGGTGAGTGGAAACAACTATAACCTGGTTAAAAGCTCTGAAAAGTCGATTTTGCGTAATAGCTTTGCTCTAATGCTTTGCTGTGGAACATTATTGGCAAAAGACAAGCAGGTGAAGGACCCTCCACCGGGAAAGTTACGTAATACATCTTCAAGTTACATTATCTGCAACTGGAACAGCTTTGAACGCATCTGAAGTCCTCACGCGTTGTTGCCTGTTGCTGATCCATTAACTCCAAAACAGACCGATTCTGCTCTGGATGGCGGTGATTAAATTATGTAATAAGCTTTTCTCCCGTGCTCAATAATATTTTCCCAACATTGATTTAGATGCAACTGATCCTTTCTGCATCATCACTCTATTTCCAGCCCACTATTCGACGCTCCAGGTTAGTCCCAAAGTAAACATGCCATTCTCTATGTATCCCAGAAGACATTTATTGTGGTACCTTCAGGGCTGACTGGAAAATACGCACATCCATTAACGCTGGAACGCTTTTAGGTACAAGAAGCTTTTCAGACTTATGGCAGAAAAAAAGGGCTGTAATTCTCTTTAGAGTCATTAACTGAAAAAGATCCAACATGCTTCCCTTTGCTTTTTGTTCATTTGATGTCAGTAATGTAAAGAACTCACTGCAATGACACTTACTGGGAGACTGTGAATCGTTTTGTACTCGGGGAATGGAAAAAGCCTGACAAGACTAATGCATGCTGTTAAATGGTCATTCCAGCTATAAAGTACAAATTAGTAGAACAGTGTAGAACTTGCTGACCGGCTGTACTGTAAAGGGACTGTACGAACAAAATGTTTTCTGCACTGAATGAATATAAAGCATAATGTTTCACAGGTTTAAAATTGAATGTTCGCATTTAGTTTTCACACTTGACCGTTTAAAGGTGCATTGTGTAACTTTTCTGGTAGAGGTTCTGTTCTCTAAAATGTTTTTTTTCTCCATGAATATGTTATTGCTTCATCTGGAATGTTTCTCAGTATGGTGTTTAACCTTTCTATCTTCATGGTCAGATCTGTGGAGAGGCGACCCCGCTCACAGTCAGAAGGCCTGTTTATTAAGGATGTAACGATGACTGAAATATCGTGAAATCGTATTGTCAAAAGTCTCACGGTAATATTGTGGGCCATCACAATATATCGAATTACAGGTTTCTTCGCTTAAATTATTAATTATAGTGATTGTATGTCCTTCTTTGTGATTTTAATGTCTTTCTCATTCTTTAAAGCACTTTGAATTACTTTGTCTTGCCTTGACATGATGCTAGTCTCATTCATCAGCCAGTTTCACTTCATAGAAACCGTCTAACCTCTCAGTGTTAGAATTCGTTCACTCGACTGTAGGCTCTTTTATTAAATTGTTTAAGCTCAATATTGTGATTTAAAATGTCCAGAAGATAACATAATGATCCGTGGGTGTCACAGATTATTGTTTCCCAAAGACTGGATCGTGACCCTCAGGTGGGTCAAAAGAGATTTTTTTTGGGTTGCCTTGTCAGCTGATTTCACTTTGTAGAAACTGTCTGACCTCGCAGCGTTAGAATTCATTCGCTCGACAGTAGGCGGGTACTTTTTATCATTTAACCAATGGCTGCGATTTGGTTGTGACATAGTAATGCACCACTAACGGGACTAAGTGATATATTAAGCTTTTCCCAAATCCCGTAGGAAGAAGGGCAATAACGTCTTTCCCCTTGATGAAATTCACCAAACATTCTCTTTATTACGGCTTTAAATCCTCGATCTCGGGAATCGTTGACAACACTGAATATATGGCTCTTCGCTGATTGGCTGGTGCCCAAACTCGCACTTCCGGGGTTTTTGCGAACCGTCTACTGTATTCCGATTTCTGACCTAGTTGCTGTAGAGAAATTAAATTGAACGGAGGCACTAGGTGGCGCCAGCCTGACTACCATGATGCACCAGTAGTCGAAAAACAGAGGGAACTACATAGACCATGATCCTTTGCTGTTGTCAGTGCAGACTACATGAAGAAACAACTCTTATTAAGCACTTTTAAATCTTAATTCTTCATATTATCACAGTACCAACAGAAAAATATTCACAGTTTTGTAAGCCTCCACAAAATATCTCAATAAATATCGTACCGTGAGATGAATATTGTGAAAATATCGCATTGAGGGATTCTGATATTGTTACATCTCTACTGTTTATGTATTTTGAGCTATAAAACCACCTGTAATTAAATAAATATAAGCTGTTTAATATCATACTGTGGAACATTTCAGGCAGAGCTATGACATCTGAAACAAGCAGGTGACGGATTCTCCACCAGAAAAGTTACACAATACACCTTTAAAGGGGTTATATTACTCTTATGGGGTACTAATTACTAACACATAAAATATTTAGATCACCCTGTTACCTTTTATTGTTTTGAAAGTGCTATATTTGCTGAAAACAATGTAAAAGCATTTAGTTTTTGATGGCTCTGACTCTCCCCATTTTTAGTCACTCCCCCTTCAGAGCGCTATCACAACACAATCAGCATGCGTCCCGCTAATGAAACTACTGCACATCACACCAGATTTGTCAAGTTGTTGTGTACAGTTTTGCATCATGTTTTTGCATATTTATGGAGAATTGTCGTGTGGGAGCGTGAGTGACGGCTTGTGGGCGGAGCGTTGCACAGAATCTTTCAGCTTGTAGAGGTTGAATAGGGAGCAGGAAAGATCGCTAAAATACTCTAACATGCATGGGTGACATCTAAAACCTCATCAGGTATGTTTTTAATGAAGGAGCAACATTCTAACATGGTAGAAACCACCAAAAACTGATTTTGCATAATGTCCGCTCTTTAACAGTTGCTATCTTATAAACTTTGAGGACAAAAATTTTAACTATTTTCCATCCACAACCAAAAAGTAATAATGCACTTACCGTATTTTCCGGGCTATTAGATGCGCTCTTAAGCCTCTAAACCTATCAAGAAACGACCGCACGCCTCGCAAGCCACAGCATCCTATACACGAATCCACTCAGGTGTCCCATCATGACTTCAGTAAACTATAAAGCCGCACCACCCGCAGCGCACGCAAACACACACGGAGCAGACAGCAACCGCGCAGCAAAAAACACCCACAGACACACTCATCACTCCAGGCTGACGAGGAATGAAACGGAGGAATGAACCGAAAAAGTGAGTGCAATGTGCCACTTCTAGACACAACTGAACAACTGAGTCACTGCGAACACGCCGACAATCCAGCGGTCCCAGACAGCACCCTCCCTACACGCCACAACTGAACAAAGCCCAGAGTCACCACACCGTGAACGCGCCAAACTAAGTCTGACTGACCCATCTAACTGTTTCGTTTAAAGTCCAGTGCAGTTTATTTGTGAAAAAAGTTCGAAAATAGACCATTTAATGACCATTTAGTGCGTCTTATAATCCAGAGCGCCTAACAGCTCGGAAAATACGGTACTTATTTACTTACTAACTTACTTAATTGTGTGCTATGAAAATGGTTCTAGTCAATTTATTCCAAAAGTAGACTAGGAATAGTTAATATTCTGTAATTTTAATTCTTGATAGTCGAGTAAAAAGGGGGCGTGGCAGAAGCTCACAAAACTATTACTTATATCTATCAGGAAGTCGTGACTTGGACTCGAGTCAGACCTGAGTCTTGATCTTTAGGACTTGAGACTTGACTTAATAAAATAGACTAAGACTTGGGACTCGACTTGGACTTGAAGCTTAATGACTTGGAACTTGACTCAGACTTGAGGTCTGTGACTTGAGAAGACTCGATGCTTCTCTTAAAAATAATATATTTTTAGAAAATACTTTTCATTTTACAGTTGATACATGCAGTACTGAATTTTACAGGAACAAACCGGAACATGTCCCTTCCACTTCTCCTTTAAATCTTAATTGTTTCTATTCTGACTATAATGATTCACACAAAGATTTTGTCAAGACATTTAAAACGGAATTTTGTATTTCTCTTATGAAATACTCATGTAAATATACCATGACTTTTTAAGTGCAAATTAGTTTAAAATTCATATAAATAATTAAAAAGAATAATTTAAAGGTCCTGTTGGTGCATCACTCGTGGTCATACTTGGTCTCATATTTATTTTTGTTCTATGGTGTTTGTTTATGTGGTGCTTTGTGTTGTGTTGTCCTGTTTTTTGATAAAGCATGTTACCCCCTGTCGCAAGACAAATTTCTCCCATGGGAGCCAATAAAGGATTATCTTATCTTATCTCATCTTAAATTGTGAAAAATCTAAGCTATAATTGGTGCTTTGGTTTAAAGACTTGAAATGATTTGAAGCTCAAAGCAGATGTCTTGGACTTATGGGCCAGTGACTCGAAGACTCGACTTGGACTTGCCTGTATTTGACTTGGGACTTGACTCGGACTTGAGGCCAAAGACTTGAGACTTACTTAAAGACTCGCAAAACAACAACTTGGTCCCACCTCTATCTGAGTCAAACTGTACTCACAAGACTACAGCTGATTATTTACGCAAAAAAGTCATAGGAAACCATGTATTTTTATAAAGACAAATTCAAGTTGTAATTCGCGAGTTTAATCTACCGTTTCGTTTACATAAACACCAAAAAGTAACACATCTTCAGCTCACTGACTCACTCACTAACTTTTCTGCTGTTGTCTCATATATTTTTCTTTTCACAGTGACCAAATTTCACGCCCAAGTCCCGTCTCCGTGGATGCACAGCGCACGCAGCAATGGCCACACAGGGACATGGGAACACGAGAGCCACTGCCCCCGACAATCTCAAACCGGGAATGGAACCCGCAACCGTAGCCGGCGGGAAAACCTGTCCCGTCCACAATCCTGGTGCGGACGATCCAAAGAGGGGATTTCGGAAGGGCTTGGGACGGCACAATGACTATGTAAAGATCCCAGTGCCTGATACCAAAGTCAACCGTCTGCCCATGGAGTGGTGGAAGACATTTCTCGCTTTCTTTTACGCCGGATTCAACCTGGTCCTCACCACCGTCGTCATCACCGTTGTGCACGAGAGAGTCCCGCCCAAAGAAAGCAGCCCTCCTCTTCCGGATAAGTTCTTTGATTACATCGACCGGGTCAACTGGGCGTTCACTGTCACCGAGATTAACGGCATGGTGCTGCTGGCCATTTGGATCATACAGCTTTTCTTCTTCAGATACAGGCAAGGATCCATTGTTTGCCGTGAAATGAAAAGTAATTACAAAGGTTTTATCGGCAGGTTTTATGAGCCGGTTAATAGCTGATTAAAAATGCACAATGATCACACTCAACCCTCTCTGCCATTTCACGTGAACTATCAAAAAGTTTATTACAGACATGTGTACAGTTTATCAATTGATTTTGGAATAACTTGCATTTGCAGCACAGAAGGCTACAATATCTCTGTCAACCTTATGCATTTTCTCTTTTATTTGCAGTAGTTTGACATTTTTTGCGTTCATTTTTATCAAAACCTGCAACAGTCCGTGTATCATTCGTTCATTCGTGTTTCAGTATAAAACCAAAAATAAGAAAATGAAAAAACAACAATTTTTTTCATTATTTGTCTCTAAAACCAAAATGAAAAACCAGATAATGATTTGTTTTTTCAGTTTTCGATTTTGTTTTTAAATGAATAATGGAAAACTGAGATGCCGGACTAAACCAGGACTAAACCAGGACTAAACCAGGACTGAACCAGAACTAAACAAGACTAAACCAGGACTAAACTGGTCTCAGTCCTGTTCTCATTTCTGGTCTAATTTCTGGTCTCAGTCTCGGTCTGGTCCCAGTCTGGTACCGGTGTCAGTCCCCGTCTCAGTCCTGGTCTTAGTTCTGGTCTCAGTTCCGGTCTGGTTCTGGTCTCAGTCCTGGTCTCATTTCTGGTCTCAGTCCTGGTCTGGTCCCGGTCTGGTCCTGGTTTGGTCCTGGTCGAAGTCGCCGTCTCAGTCTTGGTCTTAGTTCTGGTCTGTTCCCAGTTTGGTCCCGATCTCAGTCCTGGTCTCAGTCCTGGTCTCAGTCCTAGTCCTGGTCTGGTCCCGGTCTCAGTCCTGGTCTCAGTCCTAGTCCTGGTCTGGTCCCGGTCTCAGTCCTGGTTTAGACCTGGTTTAGTCCTGGTTCAGTCCAGTATCCGCTTTTTCCATTCTTCATTTAAACACAAAATCGAAGAATGAAAAAACGAATCGTTACCTGTTTTTTCATTTTTGTTTTTGAGACAAATAATGAAGAAAATAGTTGTTTTTTCATTTTCTTATTTTTGGTTTTATTTTGAAAAACAAATGAACGAATGATACACGGATTTGCAACCTACATGACAGTTCAATAATGATTTAATGACAGAATTAATAATGATTCCTCTGATAACTTTATCAAACTATCGTAAATATATATTTGTATGATACATTAATGTGAAAGATCCTCCATTGAGAAATAACCGTCCAATTCCTTCACAAAGATGTTTATCAAAAATGACCAATAATCTCCAGAAATCAGATAATGATCAGATGTTCTGTGTCCAAATTAACAAGTTTATACAGATCTCCAAGGTTTCAGATTGAACTCTCATTACACTGTTTTCCAGGGACTTCACCTACACTGCTAAATGACAAAAGGTCTAATTAATTATGGCTCACAATAAAATAATCAGTTGTTGGGGAAGTAACGATATCCAAATCTCATGGTACTATATTTATTGCAATATTTTGAAGTGGTTAATATAATTGTAGACAAGATACTTTTTACATTTAAAATACCTTGACAAGACTTGAGGTGTGAATTATTACTTTGTCATAATTTGAAGTAAAAAACATATTTCTTTATGTTGTCTGCACTGAAATGACTCATGGTCTATGTCAGACATGTCAAACTCAGGCCCAGGGGCGAAATTTGGCCTGTAATATATTTATATTTGAGCCCGCGAGATCATATCAAATAAGTATTAGAGCTGCTCGCTGGCTACAGACAGACTATAGAGACATTATTTATTAAAAATCTTGTTATTATTTTATATTACACTTGTTCTGGATTCAGTGTTTAAGCAAAACTATCATTAAAAATTTATTTTAATAAGAAACAGTTTAACATTACATATCTCGAAAGAAGAGAAAACATGCAGATGGCTTGGTTTTTAATTTTGGCCCTCTGTGAATTTGAGTTTGACACCCCTGGTCTATGTAGTTAACTTTGTTTTTTAGATGTCGCTACTATAAAACAAAGGAACTTAAAATTCAATATATTGTAACAGCGCTCAATATTATTGTGAGACTTTTGACGATACAATATCACGATATTTTGGTTATTGTTACATCCTTAGCATAAAATATCCTTACATTTTTATAGAGTGAAAATGGGAAGATTAGTTAAGATTAATTATTCAGAAACAAATCACATTTAATCCTTAATATGTCATGTTGTAATCAGTATGTTTGTGTAGCCTTCAACAGCAGACCCAAGGGGGTAAACATAGAGTGATAACCTGTCCCAGTTTTGGTTTTAGACCCCACTTATTTATTATTTATGATTTACAAACAGTTACATTTACATTTTTTTTGCAAAGAAATCAAGATTATTTCGGTATAAAGGCTTGCAGGCTCATAAAATATCACTATACATTGTTCTTCAGATTTGTCTGTGCATTTGAAAGTGGTGGGAGATAAAGGGATGGATGTGATATGATCTTTAGTTTGATCAATCATATCACCAATGTGCCTCTGTCTGTTTGGGTAGAAACACTTGACAAATATACTGCAGGTTTGTAGTTGTACTAATGACGTTTATTACATTATAAAACATCAGACAATCATATTATATAAAATCAATAATGTGGTTTGGTTGTTCCTCATCTATTTCCATTTGCAGGTCCATCGCTCTCCGGCGCTTCTTCTTCCTGATGGGCACCCTGTATTTGTACCGCTGTGTCACCATGTACATCACCACTCTGCCAGTGCCGGGCGTCCACATGACCTGTGCTCCGAAGGTGAGCTCTGTGTCCTCAGAGTGGGGCTCAGGGTGGGACTCAGAGTGGGGCTCAGAGTGGGGCTCACAGTGGGGCTCAGCTGGTCTGTGTTTGTGCCTCGGGAGCCATTTTACACCATCACACCAGCACGGATCAAAAAACAAGACAATGAAACAACATGACACAGTATGGCCACAGGATACGAGCAAGAGCACAACATGTCTCCTCTGTTCTCGTCTGTGAAACATACGAAGCTAAATGGAAGTGGTTCGGATATTTTTGGAACAGTTTTGCATCGCCTCAGTAACAATATTCAGATAATACAGTGGTCCCTCATTTATCACTGTAGCTACTTTCTAAAAATAACCTGCGATAGGGGAAATAGCCAACTTTATATTTTACAATTATTATATCTGTTTTAAGGCTGTAAAACCCCTCACCACAAACTTTATACACTTTTCTCAGAAAGGATAGTTAACCCTTTTTGCATCCTTCTTAAAACTTACAACTGCTGTCGTCCTTTTGTTATTTTCTTCCTTCTTTATGTAACAAACAGAAGATTTATTTATTCCGTAATGGAGCCCTACAGCGCAGAGTTTTGTACAGGTCCAATTTTGGAGAGCCGCACCCACGCAGTACAGGACCGCACCCCCGGTACCCTCCCATTAACCCGAGATTATATACTCCACGGACTGAACCAAGACTAAATCAGGACTAACCCAGGACTAATCTAGGACTGATTCCAGGATGAAGAGGAGGACTAAATCAGAACTGAACCAGGACTCACTGTTGGGACGGGCTCGGGGATGACCGCTCGAGAAAGGACCGGTGTTCCAGTGCAGAGGTCTGAGTGTGCTGTGGTCCAAAGCAAGAAAGATATCTGATGAAGGCTTTTTTGCTGAAACGTTATTTTGTAAATAAATAAGCTTTTGGACATCGGCCATCTGAGCGTGCTATGCATTTTTTCACTTTTGCCAGTGCAGAGGTTTACCCACCCGCAAACCCACCCTTAAAATTCCATGAAAACCCGCCGGTTTCAGTAACTATTTGCTTGTACCCGACCCGGTGCAAGACTCTGCTACAGTCGCGTAACTTCTACCTTCCTTCAGCGTGTCTAGAAGTCCAACTTTTGTGCGATGGTTTGCATCTTCCTCTGACTTTTGGGTGTGACCTCAGGAGCTTTTGTCAGTGCAGAACGTTTCGTCGACATTGTGGGTTTTGTCGGGGAGAAAACTTCTTCAGAGTCTCACGGCTAGCGACCGAAGATTTATTTAAATTTGTCAAGCTGAACACATTCTGTACTGTACAAGAGACACGGCACGGAGGAGATTGATTGACAATGGTCTACAGTCTCTTAGCCAATCAGGACGCAGGGGGAGGAACACAGTGCACATTCATACATTGTAAAAAAAAAAAAGAAAAGCATGCAAAATTTGACTAATCCAGAATGATCTCTCTCTCTCTCTGATAGATGTATATCATGCTTAGAAATTGACATTAGATATTAGACATTTTTCAATTAAATCTTTCTTAAAAAATCTACTATTTCATTGTTTACTCCACAGAACATGTACTGTAACTCTCTAACTTCCTGTGTATCCCTCTTTGCTCTCTCAGTTGCACGGAGACTCCCATGCCAAGCTCCTGCGAATCATGCGCCTCATTTCTGGAGGAGGATTGTCCATAACAGGCTCCCATCTCATGTGTGGAGACTTCCTGTACAGTGGCCACACCGTGATGCTAACTCTCACTTACCTATTCATCAAAGAGTGTATGTACCCGATATTTAGTCTATTTTCAGACCTCAAAGTAGGGATGCAATATTATCAAAATAGCAATGTTGAAATTTTAAGTACAATCATTTTCTCCATAACAAATTGCCTAAAACTGCTAACCCAGTAGCTTTAATCAACAAACATGTTCTAAAATGTGATTCTTGTATAAATTCTTCTGGACCATGGACTGTATAAAGAAGTGGGCTAAGAGAATGTGGTCCACAGCATTCAGCTCCAGTGAAATGAAATAGAATGGCAAAATAAAAACACCAGGATTATGTAGAGCGGGTTAATATGAACATTTTAAGACCAAAATGAGCAGTTATAGAGAGAGGGGTGACATTTTCTCAGTATAAAGTGAACTGGAGTCAAAGTCAATGGAGCAATGTCCATTTATATATACAGTCCATGTTCTGTACGCAGCTAGAATGTGAACTTTGAACAGAATCCTATCATCAAAACATAAATCACAAATCCAATCTCAATTTGCAGTGCTTGTCAGAAAAATCGCAATTGGATAATTTCCCAAATTGTCCAGCCCTACCTTCAAAGTTGAGGGAAGTTGACCTGTGTAAACTCTTTGTCCAGACTCTCCGCGGTCGTTCTGGTGGTACCACGTGATGTGCTGGCTGCTCAGTGCGGTGGGCGTGGTCTGTATCCTGGTGGCTCACGAGCACTACAGCGTGGACGTGGTGGTGGCCTACTTCATCACCTCACGACTCTTCTGGTGGTACCACACCATGACCAGCTTACAGGTATGAGTCCACACTAAAGGAATATGATCTGTGTGGGAAGAATACTTTGAAAATGTATTTAGTTACAGAATACTGAAATATCTGCATTGAAGGAACTGTATGTAGCTTCTCACAGTTTTAAAATGGTATTAGTTGCCAGTGCCTAAACCGGCAGATAGTGGACGCATTAAAGTTTTTTTTCAGTATGAAGACTATGCTCATGTGAAAGCCTGAACCTCCAGAATTTCCTCCCTGAGCTGCAAAGGCTGCACTAGCACTGACTCATGACTGGCTGCAGGTGCTGGGCTTTATGTAGTGAGGATCCAGATCAAAGAGAGTTCTGTTGTTAAGTTTAAACCAACTGGATTTCAGCAGTGAAAAGGCAACCCAAATGAGAGACTCATTTTTCTTTCTGAACCAAAACACCACATTTTAACATAAACAACTTGGCCATTACATCCAGTGTTTTTATAATTAATAATAAATCAGCATTAAGACTGTTTAAAGTCAAAGCTATAGGCCTTTTTGATCTGAACATGGGGATACAGTTAGGTCTTGTTTATGGAATTTAAATCTTAAATACAGTTCCTTTATAATGTATTTTGTAATGTAATGTTATATGGTCCAGCATACCATTGGCATACTGTCCTATCACATTGACCTACATTATACTGTAGTGTTAGTTATGCTTTATTTATCACAGATTAGAGAAGAAAAAAATGACACAATACATTTTTTTTTCATTTACAGAACCTAAATTTCATGATCAAATACTGTCATACTCCTGTATTTGGGAATGTAACTGTCCTCTGCTCACCACCAAGCAAAAGAGTTCTCAAAAGTTACTCAAAATACATATTTTGCACATTGAATAGAATTTGTGTAATGTATTTCAGGAATATATTTCAAACTGAGGTCACACAGTATTCACTAAGGTCAAGTAGGATTTGCAGGGTGCTTAATTTTGATTTTGGAAAGATACAGGTCAATTCTAGAAATTTGGGCTCTTAAACTTTTTGGAATCAAAGCTGCATGGGGTTTGTGTGAAGTTTCAAAATAAGAAATGGTGGCATCTGCTGGCCACATGGAAGCATTACACAATGAACTGATAAAATGTAAATGTGATGTCTGAATATCAACCCAACTATTACTGAAGTCATGTGGGGTGTATAAGTGTATGCATACATTTAATCCTGTAAACATGTTAGGATATCTTTACTAAAATGTCATGTATTTTTTTTCTTAGACTTTGAAATGCTTCCCAAACAACTACCTCCAAAACACCTGGTGGAACCCGATTTTCAACTTCATGGAGAGAAATGTCCAGACAGCTGTGCCGTGTTCGTACAGCTGGCCCATCACCTGGCCCCCCGCCTGCCTTAAGAGCCCCTGCAAGAAGTATTCTATGGTACAGAGCATCCGAGAAGAGTGAGCACAACTCCACGGCCCCTTCGGAGAATCAGCACATCAGCATTGTACCATTTGTATAATGTATATGATAGAGATGTTCCAAAAAGTGTTCTAACAATCACCGTTGTTACCACAGAGCATATGAGTTTTGGGTTTTTTTTCTTCTTTTTTTTTTTTTTGATGAAATATTTGTAGCGCCTGATAAACTGCTGTATTTTAGGAAGATTCCACTAAAACTGTTAGACTTCTCGTATCGGAGGGACTGAGTGGGGTTGCCTCAAGGTAATGTATTTATGTCACAAGGTGCCTTAGTGTGTTGTCAGCATGGTAGTTACCAAAAGCCAATCATCTTTTGTTTTTTTAAATTTTTTTATTCAGTCTTCTATTTTTATTGTTTATTTTTTGTCAATTTTGTATTATTCATTGAAGTGTCTTACAGCTTTAGTCATTCAGATGTGCATTCGCATACATCACGAGTTTTACAGTTTTGTTGTTTATTCACAGTGCTGACTTTGTTTTACAGAGCAATCATGTTATTTATCCAAATGCTTGTTTTATATTTAAAGTATTTCCATTAAATAAAACGATGAATGACGTTGTAAGTTTTTTTTTTTTTTCCAAATGTGTGAAAAGTAGGCTCCATTAGTCCCAGTTATTGTATCCTATGTATACTGACTATACACGATCAAAAGACAGTATAGACTTACATATCTGTGTAAGTCGTCCAGATACGATCAATAGCAAAAGAAATATTCTAATCTGTCAACTGGACAAAGGTTTCTTCAGTTCAAAGCCCCAAGTCCCATGACCTGTCCCACTTTTAAAGACTTTTTGAGGTGGTCGCCCTAAACAACAGAGAAGAATTCCTCTCCACTGGCAGATTCATTGATGCTCCCATTGGTGTACTATTTATTTATTTTTATTACTTTTTTCCCTCACTGTAGTGGACCAAACAGAAAGGTATAAAAATAAGTTTAAATTGAATAAAGTCAAAAAAGAAACAAAGGCTCAAATTAGGCAAATTATTACCAAAAAAATCTAACTGAACTGACCAAAACTAACCCAACCAGACAAAAGAACAGTGGTGTTTAAATACTTGAGGACCAACTAAAACTAAACACTAGAGGGAGGAATTACACTAAATAATTAACTAAACTACTAACTTAATCAAAGTAACAAAACTGCAAATAATTATAATACAGAAAATAATAAGTGATAATAAAGTAACCTTAAAGCAAACTAAACACCTAACTTTAAAAAACTAACTAAATAGTGCTCGGTCAACAAGCGTAAGTAAATCAGACTTATATTAATTAAAATGTGTGCACTCAAATTAGAATGTAAGTCTAAAAGAAATTAAAGTATGTGTAATGTAATTAACTTAAAATAAATGAAATTAAATAATACTAACACTATGGAGTCGTGGCAGAGGTATCCACCACACCCACAAACAAAGTAATAGTTATAAAAATGTGAAAACCTGCACTTTCAATATAGGAATCTTCTCTTCGTATTCTAAAGAGTGAATGCTTCGAGTTTAGGCTGTGCAATTAATCAAATTTTAATCAAGATCGAGACTGAGTTGTTTCTAATGGTCAGTGATTATCTTGGGTCTTTTTAATGGAGAGATCTACAGCCAATTTTCTGTCACTAAGTCAAAGTCAAAGTGAACTTCATCGTCAGTCACACCATGTAAAAGACATTACACAGGGGGATCGAAATTGTGTTTCCTCAAACTCCGAATGTGCAAATTAAGAACTACAATACACACACATATACCACACAGAGAACATCAAATGCACACAAACATCGATAATAAATAAAATAAACAAAATATTCAGGCAGACAGACAAGGGACATATACATTTCCACCAAGAAAAGAAATGAGGAAGCTATTTTTGGTAAATAATGAAGGTGCAATATGTAAAGTGCAGAGTGCTGAAATAGCAGCATGGATATAGGAATGTATGAAGTTGTTTTGGATGTAGTTAGGGTTAGGTTAACAAGTAACAGTATTAATAGGAGGTAGCTGTTTGCATGTGGCTTGCTTCAGGCTTTGGAACAGGAAATCAGACCATTTTTATGAGTCAGTCTTGTTCTGTATAAAATAAAATCAAACTTGTGATCAAATATATATAAAATGAAATCATAATGACTTCTCTTTTCTACATAACCACCTAAAACCTAAAAATCAGTGATACAGCTCAGTCTGAGTGAATGATTGAGACTTCAGAATGCTGATAATAAAACCCTTTATTTAGAGTTGCTATGGCGACTGTTGGGTAAAACTACACATAGCACTTTAACTTCCTTATTTATAGATTTATCTCACTGATAGAGCCTTTTGTTTATACTGGTAGGTTTACAATGTGTATGGAAATGAGATCTACCCATAGCATGTATGAAAGGGACCCAAATATATGTTTAGTTTCTCAATAAAACATAAAAAAAAAAAAAAAAGTCATCAAAAATTACAGTAAGCATAATACCTGTATTTAGAAGGAAAAAACACTCAAAAGTTGTTCTCTCCTACAACTTTTTATTTTCTTTTTTATTTTTAGTGGTTAAAATGATGAATTGAAATGAATGATAATTATTTTATGTCTTAAACAAACTGGACAAACTGCTCTCCATCACGGACACTCCTGCTCACCCACTGCACCAGACTATAGAGGGACAGATAATACTCCCTACAACTGTACAGCAATTCACCCACTGCACCAGACTACAGAGGGACAGACGAGCTTATCCTCCAACAGGCTCCTACAGCCCCACTCAAACAGTGAGAGATACAGGACTACATTCATACTATAATACTCCCTACAACTGTACAACAACTCACCCTTATGCAACAGATAATGCTCCCTACAACCGTACAACAACACAGCCTGTCTTTCTATGACCTCTTGTATAAAGCTGAGATTTTATATTTTATTACTTTTATTTACTTTGTACTTTTTACATAATTATGTCTCATTTGACACCTGTCTTTTGCTATTTGTGCTACTTATTTTGAATTTATTATTACCATTTATATGTTTTCCTCTTTGTTATTATATTATATGGTGATGTGTGAGCTACTGTGTCCAAAAAAAAAAAAAAAAAAAAAAAAATCCCTTGTGGATCAATAAAGTTTTCCCAAACCATAGTAAACTGCAGAGGGAAAAGTACTGTAAAAAAATTAATAATAAATAAAAATCGTGTCTAAATATTGTGACTCACAGAAGCACGATAAGCTATTTAATAACTGGCATATTCACTTCTTCTTTCTTCTTTTTTGTGTTATATTACTGTATATTGTAAAAACAAAAAACAAAAACAAAACAAAAAACAAAACAAAAAAACCCAAAAACATCACATTCACGAAAAAAAAAAAAAAAATTACACAACAACATTTCGTCGTCACACTGTAATGCGCCAATCCCCGAGAACCACAAACGCGTCCGCCAATCCGAAGCAGTAACGGGATATCGCTGGTGCCATCTGTTTTACATCAACACAGGAAGAGCATGGGCACTTCACTTCTTCTTTTAACATGTCAAAGGTTTTAGTTTTGCTTTGAGATTACTTTTATTGCGTGTAGGATGGGGTAGATCTGCATTTTAGCGCACGGCACGGCACGGCGCGGGGCGGTAATGCGCACGATGGATCCGCGTACATTCCTGGACCACGCGCTGTCCCATGTCAACATCGCAACTGTACTTGCCTTTACAGTAGTGTACTATTTGCTTACCACGTATCGCAAGCGTCAAAAACTCCTCGCAAATATCCCTCCAGGTCCCAAACCGTGGCCTGTCGTGGGTAACTTCGGCTTCTTCTTGATTCCTCCTTGTATTCGGAGGCTTCTGGAGCAGCAGCCCGTGGAGAAACACCGCAGCAGGAACGCGATGGTTTATTTTACAGAGATGTCAAAAGTGTACGGCGACGTGTACAGTATATTTGCGGGTACGACGCTCATGGTGGTGCTGAACGGGTACAAAGTGGTCAAAGATGCGCTCTCCAATCACCCTGAAGTGTTCTCGGACCGACCGGACATTCCATCCATCACTATTATGACCAAACGCAAAGGTAAGTCTGTTTTTATGAGCGTGCACTTTCAACATGTACCTTAAAGAGTCATTTTTACTTCGTTTTCTATGTTACAATGTTGTTTCCTCGTCACAAACATGCCAACATACCTGGAGTTTATGTCATTTTTCATTCCCACATCTTAAATTAACACACAAACCCTGCAAATTTAGGCTCAGTTCTTGTGATGTCTTATGTAAATACTGTACAGGAAGTGCTCCACTGTGTATTTAAACTCCATGCACCTTCACTAGAATCATTTGGATAATTTCAGCCCCTCGAAAATTAGAATATCAACTCTAAAGAACTTGAACTTGAAAACTACTACTTCATGACATCACAAGGTGGAACAGAGTAGTTTAACAGATTTGGAGATGTAGACGGACTAATAGAGTAATAATTAATAATACTCAAACATGTGTGAATGAAACAAAACGCAACTCTAGGTATGTTTATGATTAGGTAATAACATTATAACATGGATAAAAGGCTCACAAGAGTAAATTTAGTCTAATATAATCTATTTAATCTTAACTGGAAATTAAATAAGAGTGACTGAACCTGATAAAATTACTTATTTGCTTTTATTCTGTGGCATATACCATACTGTATATATGTAAGGTACTGGGTCACATGAGCTGTTTGTGTGTGATTTACAGCACAGACAAAGTATAGCCTTGACCTACTTGTTAAAAGGGCCCCACTGAGTAACTTTTATGGTGGGGCCAGGGTCTGCCACTTGTTTTCCTTTAGAGATACTGTATGTAATCACTTTGTCTAGAATATTCAGCAGTTCTTAGGGTTAGATAAACTTTATTGATCCACAAGGGAAAATATTTGGACACAGTAGCTCACACGTCACACAAAGACCTAAAACTGCAAAAAGGTTGGAGCCAAATGAGGTACGGAGGTAGTTGACCTGCAAACAAAACATGTTTGTCTTTAATACTTGTTGTATAAGACTATCTTTGAGTCCTGGGTCAGTCCTGTTTTGTCCTGGTTCAGTCCTGGTTCTGGCCTGGTTTGGACCTGGTTTAGTCCTGGTTCAGTCCTGGTTTACTATTGGTTTAGTTCTGATTTAGTCCTAGTTAGCCCTGGTTTAGTTCATGGTTATTCCTGGTTCAGTCCTGGTTTAGTACTGGTTTAGACCTGGTTTTGTCCTGGTTCAGTTCTGGTTCAGATCTGGTCTAGTCATGGTTTAGTCCTGATTTAGTTTTGGATTATTCCTGGTTTAATCCTGGTTTAGTCCTGGTTTAGTCCTGGTTTAGACCTGGTTTAGTCCTGGTTCAATCCTGGTTCAGTCCTGGTTTAGTCCTGGTTTAGACCTGGTTTAGTCCTGGTTCAATCCTGGTTCAGTCCTGGGTCAGTTCTGGTCTAGTCATGGTTTTGTCCTAGTTTAGTGCTGTTTAGTCCTGGTCCAGCCTTGGTGTAGTCCTGGTTTAGTCCTGGTTCAATCCTGATTTAGACCTTGTTTAGTCCAGGTTTAGTCCTGGTCCAGTCCTGGTTTATTCATGGTTTAGTCCTGGTTCAGGCCTGGTTTAGAGCTGGTTCAGTCCCGCTTCTGTCCTGGTCTAGAGCTGGTTTAGTCCTTGGTTCTTCCTGGTTTAGTCCTGGTTTAGACCTAGTTCACCCCCGGTTGTCTCCTGGTCTAGAGCTGGTTCAGTTCTGGTTTAGACCTGATTCAGTCCTGATTCAGTCCATGTAGCCACAGGTTTACAGACTAATCTAAACCATAACATCTCTTTCTTTCTTCACAGGAATCGTCTTTGCCCCTTATGGACCCGTGTGGAGAAAACAGCGCAGGTTTTGCCACACCACCCTGAGGAACTTTGGCCTTGGGAAGTTAAGTCTAGAACCCTGCATCTTACAAGGCCTGGAGACCGTCAAGACCCAGCTGCTTCACCTCCATAAAGACCGTGGACCTTCCGGATTCGACCTGGCCCCTCTCATAACGAACGCTGTATCTAACGTGATCTGCTCCATGGCTTTAGGTCAACGCTTTCACCACGACGACCAGGAATTTCGCACTTTACTCAACCTGATGGCGCGTGGGCTGGAGATCTGCGTCAACAGCCCCGCCGTGCTCATCAACGTCTTTCCATTTCTGTATTATTTACCGTTCGGCGTCTTCCGGGAGTTACGGCAGGTGGAGAGAGACATCACGGCGTTTCTGAAGAGGATTATTAAAAAGCACAGGGAATCTCTGGATCCACTTAACCCACGCGATCTTATTGACATGTACCTTCTGGAGATGTTGGCCCAGCAGGCAGCCGGAGAAGAAGACAGCAGCTTCACGGAGGATTACCTCTTTTATATAATAGGGGATCTTTTCATTGCTGGCACTGACACCACCACTAATTCAGCCCTGTGGATTCTGCTCTACATGGTTTTATACCCTGACATCCAAGGTAAGACCAGAAGATGGATTTTTCTTAGGGCTACTGACAGGAAAAAGAAGTGACATTGTTTATGACATCTGTGAGCTGTGTTTCCCATTAATACAAGAGACTATAGTGGCCCCACATAGTCTAAAATAGTCTCCAAAGTATAAAATAAACTATATATTGACACTGAATATTCAATTAGACTTAGTTGTTCACTGTACTTTCAAAAACAGAGATAGACCGATATATTGGCTAGCTCAAATATCCGGCCGATATTTGGATTCCAGCAGAAACCAATATTTAGTTTAGGTCAACCTGCTCCCTAAATCAAACACACAGCCTTATTTAAACACTTTAATAAGAGAACATACTGCACTAAATGTGACACAAGTTCACGTATGAGTTTGTGATAAAAAAAAAAAAAAGGGATGTTGGTGAGTTTGTGGTGAATTTGAATTGCATAATTTTAGGAAGTTAATCAGCCGTACATATCGGCTCACAAATATCAGCAGAGCTTACTGGCTATTGGCTGCTCTGGATTCTAAACAATTAGTATTGGATATGGAAAAAAACATCTGTGGATTTCAAATGAAAAACTTATAAAAGAGACTTTACTGGTCAAAAACCACTGCTTAAAATTTAAATAAATTAAAAAACCTTTTACAGATCTAAAAGCGCTTTACAGTGCAATGAACAACATATACAAGAATGGCAGAATTACAGACACAGTCAACTAAAAGCTTGTCTAAAAAGCAGTGTCTTGAGCTGCTTTTTAATGCAGTAAGAGACATTTATAATCTATTTACACTATTCAAATAAAAATGATTTATGCCACCATCATTTTAACAAAGTCTGTGGGAAACACAGTTTGAGTACATTGGAAATATGAAGCAGCTTGCTTTTTGAAGCAGAGGAATAAGTTAACCACTAGGTCAAGTAGGGATTGTCCGAATATTTATTTATGTATTTGTGATTCCAATATCTGATATATTTGTCTTGCTCCTTAGTCGATTAACCAGTATTTACTGATAATAATATATGTAGTTAATATGATTAACTGAGATTCAGGAGCAGGACCACGCCTCAGCCGCCCTCTCCTCTCACCAACGAACCACAACTCACCTCAACCACGCCTCTAATTTCACAGAAGCCTATATGTAGCAGCCTTTCCCATCAACCCAGTTTGGTCTCTGCTAACTCGACCCCACCCTCCAATTCCCTATTTTGTTCATTTTTCAGTCATAAGACGCCTACAAGCGGGGGGTCCCGTTCCGGCTGGGCCAATTGAAAATTAAGACGGAGCCCCCACCTAGAGTCTCAACCCAGCCATCTCTGCCCCGCTCCGTACATTATCAATAAACTTCTTCGCACTATGTCGTCGTTGGTGTGGTCCTAGCTAGTGAATGAGATTTTAAAATCCATATTAAGTCCACAAAATTTACTTTTGGTAAAATAATAACATGAATGTATTTATTTGCAATTTAAAATTTGTGGTTGATGAATGATTGTGTAAATTTTTCTAGCATAACTCAGGACAGAACAACACTGGTGGCAGCTATTTTACCACAAGAGCATCATGTGGGTATTTCAGTTTTTCTTTTAAAAGGTTTTAGTTTGACTTTTTGTTTACATTACCAAACTGGCTAAAGTATATGGTAAAACGTTGAGTCTAGTGCACTGATAACAAACTGGGAATGACCCATTGGCATATAAAGATTGGGGAAGCTTAAAAAAAAGTCTGTAAAAAAATATCAGCAAAATGTTCAATATCGTACCAATACTGATATCTGTTTTTGGGTTCTTTTTTTCAGACCAAGAGTTTGTTTTCATACCTGACAGTTTTGACTGCTCACTATTGGTCTTCCTCAGAGTGATCATGTGATGTTGCTGTGACGTGTCCGGTCAGCTGATTTATAAACTCTTGGTCTGAAAAAAGCCAAACCCAAAAACATATAATTATCGGAAAACCAAATGAACCTCATTGGACCAATACTGATATCACCAAAATTACCTCTCCCTACTGCTGGGCAAGCTGACGACAATAAGATCTGAATGTTTCTTACTTCTATCAGAAAGTAGAGTAACATGGGCCTTTTAAACTGTTTCCAGACAAAGTGCAGGAAGAGATTGACGCAGTGATCGGCCAACACCGGGCTCCATCCATGACCGATAAAGGCAGCCTTCCTTTCACTGAAGCCACCATCATGGAGGTGCAGAGGCTCACGGTGGCAGTTCCTCTGGCTATTCCCCACATGACCTCGATAGATACAGGTACATTTTTCAATTCTAAGTAATTTTATTGTTATGTGTGTTTAGGACCTGCTGTAATAGTCTTTGGTCTGTTTATTTTCAGAGTTTTGTGGCTACACGATCCCCAAGGGCACAGTTATTATACCCAATCTGTGGTCTGTGCACAGGGACCCGACGGTTTGGGACGAGCCTGATGAATTTAAACCTACGCGCTTCCTCGACCAAGAAGGAAATCTGCTCAGGAAAGAGTACTTCATGCCTTTCGGGACTGGTATGCCAAATTTTGAAATGTAAAACGGATTTGTCGATGATATTTTGACAGTATTTTGACTCCTTTTAGGTCGCAGGGTGTGCATGGGCGAACAGCTGGCCAAGATGGAGCTGTTCTTGATGGTCACCAGTTTACTCCAGGCTTTCACGTTCAGGTTACCAGAGGGACAGTCTGCTTCTCCTCTGCAGGGGCGCTTCGGACTGACCTGGGCCCCCTCGCCTTTCACTGTGTGTGTGAGCCCCAGGAGCTCCAGATAACCTCAGAGGGGCTGAGATTACACAACATACTACTTCAGGATGGTCCATAGTCTGTATAAACAAGTGGACTAAGAGATTATGGTGTCACGCGTTCAGATCCAATCAAATGAAGCTCAAGATGCAGCACTTATAAGAGCAAATTTGGAGCCGAGTTTACGATTAGAAATAGGAATTTATTTACGGACAAAACAGTGCAATAAAAACAATCAGATCATGCAGAGTGAGTTAAAACATTAACATTTTAATATCAAAATGAGGAGCCTGACAGCAGCACTTACAGAGAGGAGTTACAGTTTTTTAATGTAAAGTTAAGAGTCGATAGAGCAGTTTCGCTATGTTCATTTATATATACAGTCTATGAGATGGTCCTAGTTTTTCATATTGTCTTCAGGAAAGACACAGTACGCACAATAGGAACATATCAGACTGTAGCCTTCACATATCATTGCATATGGACTATGCATTTTAACTCTACTGACAATAATGAAACAAAGGAAATTAATTTGTAATATAAACAAATACTATTGCTGTAAGCCTCGAATGTGGCTTAAACTATGGCACTTTAACCTGAATTTGAGGAATCGCATTGCTAGGGTGACCAGACGTCTATTTTTAACCAGGATAGCCCCAGTTTTGTGTCCCCTGTCCCAGCAGATTACTTCAAAACCAGTGATTTGTTCCAGTTTTACACAAGAAATTTATTTTATATTTTATACCCACCAACAGTGAAAATACAGAAAACTGTGCTTGAAAGTTGCCAGAAAAAATGCAGTCAGATGCATTAACAGAAGTCTCATGTTATAATATTTATGTATATTCACAAGTGAGTATAAAATGGACCTAGTCTTCTTAATTACTCAAACTTGTCACAATTTTATTATTACCAACCCCCCAACCCAGATGTGTCGCAGTTTTTAATTTTGAAAATCTGGTCACCCAACCCATTGCCCTTTCCACGACTTGATGATCTAAACCAGGGGTCTTCAACCTATAACTCGGGAGCCACCAGTAACTCTCCATCCTCTTCCAAGTAGCCCGCCAAGGGATATATGCAGTGTTGGGAAGGTGACTTTTAAAAAGTATTCCCCTACAGATTACAGATTACATACCCTAAAATGTAGTTTGTAACTGAATCCATTAAATTACCTAAAGTGAGTAACATAATCTGAATGCTGTGGATTACTTGATTTGCTGTAGAGAAGCAAAGACTAGGATATCGTAACATAAGAAATTTTGTCTGCTAAAAGACAATAAAAAGCCCAGCCTTTACTTAACCAAATTAAAAATATTACTGATAGAAGAGGAGGAGGAGACACGGTCCGCACAGCATGGTTTAGTCCTGTTAAATCCTGTTAAATCCTGTTTTAGTCCTTGTTTTAGTCCTGGTTTTAGTCCTGGATTAGTCCTATTTTAGTCCTAGTTTAGTCCTATTTTAGTCGTGGTTTAGACCTGGTTTAGTCCTGGTTTAGCCCTGGTTTATTGTCCAGCAATGAGTGGAATTACTGAAAAAAAAAAAAAAAAAGAGGGATTTAGCCCAAAATGTGAAAACAGGAAAATACCGCCACGTAATCCATTTATTTCAACAAAGTAACTGTAATCCAATTACCACTCACTGAAACAGTAACTGTAACTGAATACAGTTACTCATAATTAGTACTCTGATTACGTAACTCCGGTACATGTAATCTGTTACTCCCCAACACTGGATATGTATTGCACTTAATTACTAAAATCTGATTAATTACCATTGTAAATGTGTCATTTTGATTCCTAACTTGTGCAGTAATAAATGGACAATGGTTTATGTTTTATAGGCACCTCGTCAGAAGCTTGCCATGGCTCTTCTACTTTTCTTCACTACTCAGTTTCTTGCGACGACTAAAATGAGTAGCTCTTTGGCATTTACGTTTTATAAAAAGTAGCTCACCAGAGAAAAAGTTTGGAGACCCCTGAGCTTAACTGATTGTATTAATAGCACTATGTCTATGATTAATGCTCTAATAATGATTTCAGCATTTTAAATAAGTCTGTCTTTTCAAATACATTTGTTATATCTTGTATCAGATGTTGTGTTATTGTGTTATTTATTACCACAGGATGAAAAAAAAAAACATGGTGATAGAATATTATACTTTAAACGTGGTACAAAGTTTCAAATGTGTGTGAAAGGTCGCGCGGTCACGTGATCAGTGTCACCGCCTCTCGTGTCCTCTGGTCCCACAGTCCTGCGGTCTGAGGACTCCGTGTTTGAGGACTGTCAGTGCTCTGCTCGGTTCATGCACCATGGCGTTCGTCACTCAGTTTTGCAGAGGTTTTTCCACGTCGTGCGTCAGAAATGTGGTGATAAAACACGTAACGATCATCGGAGGAGGGCAGATGGGCGCAGGGATTGCACAGGTGAGAAAAAACAAGGGGAGTTTAACATGCGTCAGGTCTATGTCTGCAGCATAGACTAGATCCGTGTGTTGCAGTAGATCCGTGTGTCTTTGTAGATCCGTGTGTTTTTGTAGATCCGTGTGTTGCAGGAGCTCGCTGTCAATAACAAAAACAGGCGTAGCATTTGGTAATAATTGCATTGTGGCCCGTGTGTTGTTTTTAAAAGGATGCTTAATTGTAATCTTCTCGTTAAATATATTTTTTTAAAGATTATTTGCACATTTTTCTAAACGGGTTTAAGTTAGTGGAGCTCTTCCAAATGAGTCCGACATAAACACGAGCTTCATGTGGTTCCACTTTCTGCACACGCCTCTGTAACTAAAGTAAAACACATCGAGAAAACCACTAATGAAAGGAAGACCCGTTTTCAATAAAGCTATCTTACATTTGCAAAAAAAAAATATATATAGATCTACTAAAAAATAAACAATAGACTAAAAATGAACGTATTGTACAGGTAGCTGCATCCACTGGCCACACGGTGACGCTGGTGGACACATCTGAAGACATCCTCAAGAAGTCTGTCAAAGGAATTGAAGGGAGCCTTAAAAGAGTGGTGAAAAAGAAGTATGCAGACAAGCCAGAGGTCAGTCATGTCAAATGAACAAGTCGTGTACATGTTAATAATATAGTTCTACATTTAACGTTTCATAAATGTTTGATGTATTAATGCATTTTGTTGTAGGCGGGTGAAGAGTTTATCCAAAAAGTCTTGAAAAATATAGACCACCTCGTCGGACGCAAAAGCCGCAGTCCAGAGCACAGATCTGGTTTTGGAAGCCATCGTGGAAAATCTGAAAATCAAACAGGATCTCTTCAGTGCTCTTGATAAGGTCGCACCTGCGTAAGTCCTCACATGTTTTCAGTTCACAAAAGTTTTACAGTTTTCACTTAATCTTCTTTACGGCTTCCCTTTCCACCGCAGACACACGCTCTTTGCCAGTAACACCTCCTCCCTGCCCATCACGGACATCGCCAGCTCGACAGCCAGACTCGATCCGGTTTGGGGGTCTTCACTTTTTCAATCCAGTTCCGATGATGAAACTTGTGGAGGTAGAATTGGCAGAATAAAAAACTTCCATATGAAAATAAAACACATTAGACACATTTTATTAATACATATTTTACAGGTTATTGGAACATCTTCAACAAGTCAGGAGACATTTGATTCTCTCTTGAACTTCAGCAAAGCTCTGGGGAAAACACCAGTGTCTTGCAAAGTAAGAATTGTGAAATTGTACTTTATTGGATTTTTACTTTTTACTGAGAAATATTCTACGCTTTGAACATTACTTTAGGACACACCTGGCTTCATCGTGAACCGTCTTCTAGTTCCTTACATGATGGAGGCCATTCGGCTGCATGAAAGAGGTATGATTTATATTTATAGTACACCAGAATCATTATATCAGTTATCTATGCACTTTCTTTCTCATAATCTGACTACTAAGAATCACTGAAATGAATTCTACAGTGACATTAATTATGTTTTAAGTCCTATATTACACAAAATTGACTTTTAGCCATGTTAGAATGTTGTTGCCTCCTCAAAAACATACCTGGAGTTGTTTTGTTTCATTCACATGTTTGATTATTCCATTATTATTATTATTAATCTGTCAACATCTAAAAAACTCTAAATGTTCTGTTCCAACTTGTGATGTCATGAAGCTGTAGTTTTCAAGTTAATAGATACTTTTGTACCTTTTAATTCGGGAGAGATTGACAATTCCAAGGCTGAAATGATCCTAATGATTTAAGGGAAGTTATATGGAGTGGAGCACTTCCTGTATTACCACAAGACATCACAACATGGAGTGTTTAAAGTTTTAGAAAAAAAAACTGTATATTTTCAGGGTAGCTGCAGGGTCTTTAAAAGTCTTAAAAAGGTCATAAAGTTCATGTTCCTAAATTAAGGCCTTAAAAAGTCTTACATTATGTTGTCCAAGTCGCATTTTTTTCAGAAAGGTCTTAAATTTCATTAGCCTATTTTTTTGTTTTCTCAACCGGGCTGTAGTGCAGTGTTAAACAGACAACGACAAATAACTTAAAAAACCCTTAATTTAACGATGAATGTCTAATTTGGAATATGCACAAGCAATACTTAGTTTGTCTTGTTAGAATGTTATAAATTATTTTTTGGCCATTTTAAAAGCGATTCATACGACTATAAATGAGTTCTGAATGAGATTTATAATAAAAGTATTTTTTGTTATTTTAAGCAGTACACAATGGTCATTATTCGAATTCAATCTGGAGTTTTTCGCCGACATAATGGGTGTGATGTTGGTCTTAATTTTCATTTAAGTGGTCTTAAAAAGGTCTTAAAAAAGTCTTAAATCTGGGGTAGTCAAACCTGGGGATACCCTGATTTTAGGCTTTAGTCTTGGTAAGATAACAACATTCAAACGTGACTACCGTATGTTCCGGGCTATTAGGCGCACTCTTAAGCCTCTAACCCCATTAAAAAAAGCGCCCTATACACGAATCCACTCAGGTGTCCCAGCACGACTTTAGTAAACTACCAAACCGCACCACACGCAAACACACACGGAGCAGACAGCGATCGTGCAGCGATAAACACCTGCAGCCACACTCATTACTCCACGCCGACGAGGAACAGAACGGAGGAACGAACCGAAAAACCGAGTGCAATGTGCCGCTTCTTGCCACAACTGAACAACTGAGTCACTGCGAACACGCCGACAATCCAGCGGTCCCAGACAGCACCCTCCCTACACGCCACAACTGAACAAAGCCCAGAGACACCGTGAACGTGCCAAACAAAGTCCGACTGACCCATCTAAATGTTGCGTTTCGTTTAAAGTCCGGTGTGGTTTATTTCGAAAATAGACCATTTATTGACAGTGCGTCTTATAATCCAGAGCGCCTAATAGTGCGGAAAATACGGTAAAAGCCGGTTTTGCATAATAACATATGTGGGCCCCTTTTAAATATATAAACTGCATATACTTACTACTACTTACAAATTCTGCATTTTTACCTGTTGGTTGTTATTCCCAGGCCATGGATCCAAAGAGGACATTGACATCGCCATGAAACTCGGTGCTGGTTATCCGATGGGACCGTTTGAGCTTCTGGACTACGTTGGACTGGACACTGCAAAGTTCATCATGGACGGTAACATTCATGAAAGTTTATAGTATTTAATAAATGTAATAAATAAACACTGCTAAACGTAACTTCATATTGTGTGTGTTTTGTTTCTGTTTAGGCTGGAGCGCTATGGACCCCGGAAACCCACTATTTGCACCGAGCGAGCTGCTCGACAAACTGGTCGCTGATGGGAAATATGGCAAAAAGACCGGAGAAGGATTTTACAAGTACAAGTAATTTACATGTAACTGGGAAAATGAAATGACACCACTGTTCTCATGATTTAATCACTTGACAAAAAGCTGTAGTAGGACACTAAAGTCTATGGCAGGACGAACCATGTGCCTTCTTCAATGTTGAAAACGTCTTGCAGTTGTCTGAATCATGAATATTGTATGTATGATAACAATAATAATAACATAATTTTTCAAAGATTGGTGTCCTGGGTTTGTTATTTACCCACTCAACTGCATTTTTAATCATTCATTCATTTAATACAGTTTACACCATCACAAATTCAAAGTGCATTGTGTAACTTTCCTGGTTGTGGGTCCATCAAGTGTTTTTTTTGTTTGTTTTTTTTTTCGTATAGATGTTATTACTTTGTCTGGAATGTTCCACAGTATGGTATTAAACCTTTCTAACATCATGGAGACCAACCCAGATCAAGTTACAGGCCAGGTTTGTGAAGAGGCAAGCCTGCTCACAGTCAGAATACCTGTTTTTCTAGATATTTTTGAGCTATAAAACCACCTGTAATTGAATAAATGTAAAGTAGATCTGTTTAATGTCATACTGTGGAACATTCCAGGCAAAGCAATGACATAACCATAGAAACAACCAACCAAAAAGTTGCATAGTGCATCTTTAATGACACTTAATGGAAAAGTATTGTCTTTGAGCATCAGTGGTTCAATATCTTATGTATTACACTACATTTACTATATTTAGTTATAGTCAGGATTATAGGGCCCATATTATGCTGATTTCTGATGTTATAATGTTGTTTCCTCATCAAAACTTCTGGAATTCCTTTCTTTCATGCACACATTTAACACACACCTTGCATATTTCTGCTCTCAAACAGAAAACACTCTGTTCACCTTAAGATGGTAACAATGGAGGAGCTTCACTGTGTTTTTAAACTCACCTTCATGCACCTTCATTAGAATCATTTAGATGATTTCAGCCCTGGAATTGACCATCTCTACTGAACAAAAGGTAAAAAGGGAGCTGTTAACTTGAAAACTACTGCTTCAAGACATTCACGGGGAGGAATAGAGCGTTTTGAGCTTTGTAGATGTAGACAGACTCATTTTCAGCTGTGTGAATGTAACAACACTGCAAAAAACAAAATCTAGCCAAGTTAAGACGACTTGAATTTAAAAACTTTTATCATGATTTGAGCAAATTTCAATTGACAGGTAAAATCTGCCAGCGGAATAAGAGTTTTTGTAGTTAAAATATGAAAATACATCTTGCTGCACTTAAAATAAGAAAAACAACAACTTAAAACACTTAAAATAACAAACAAAATCTAATGTTGCTTGAATTAAGAAAAACACACTTATTCCATCGGTAGATATTTTTTTCTTGTTAAGCTGAATCTACTCAAATAAAGCAAAATGTTCTTAATTTAAGTCATTTTAACTTATCTAGATATTGTTTTTTTTTCCAGTGAAAAGACAACTCCCAGTCTGTTTTTGATGAGAGAACAGCGTTGTAACTTGGCTTAAAGCTCACAAGAGTCAATTTTGCATAATATGAGCCTTACACCAATTTGTGTTACACCAATCTAGTACTTTGTCCTATTGCTAAAAGAAGAAATACATGTACAATTCATAAAATAATAAGTGTTATTTCCCAAAGAAGACACAGGGGGGCGCTGACTCACTATAAATGTTGAATCGTGGATAAGTAGATGCAGACTGTCTATAAATAGAAGTCTTTGATGTTGGCTGTCTTATTAAAAGCGTCTACTTCAAAAATAATCTGAAACTAAAGCTTTATAAAAATGTACAGCTTCAAGAAGAGACAGGATGTTCTTTTAAATCTCCCCGCAAACTTTAGAGTGACCATTTCTGTAATAACACATATTCTGTATTGTAGACCTGAGAATTTCTGGAACTCTTGAGAGGTTTTTTTATGGCTGTGTGTTGAAAGCTGTGCCCTAAATCACACCATTTGTTTTCATTCAAAAATAACCACCTGCACATGAATATTTCAGTTACTACATTACTCTACAAGCGCCTCGAACACCCAACCGGACAAATGAGCCAAGTGTGCATTTTTTATTTTCTTTAAAAAACAACAAAAACATGTTGAAACAGTTCAAATATGACCATTTGGGACGCGAATGCTATACCAAGATGACAGTGACCCAAAAAGATGACAATTAAAAAGGAATTGGTCAAGTAATAGTAAAATAGAACATTAAATCAAAATGTTACAGAGATGCTTGAATGGAATAAACAACATGGCAAAAGACCACACTATTAGCTACCAGAGAAAAAGACAAAAGGTCCATTGCAATAAAAGAAAAGAAAAAAGACTGCCAAGTGCTGGGGTAAATATATATATCTGTTTCATTTGTCATGATTTCCAACAATAAAATATAGGCCTCTGAGCAATCACTCTCGCCTTTGTCCTAATGTTGCCTGCAAAAATACCAAGAAAAGTGACATGTCCTGACAGTTTTAAAAAGTACACATACTGAGCATTATTTTACATCTGAGCAAGACTCGAGGTCACTATTTGTTACAAATAGTTATCAAAAAAGCCTTTCAATTTTCTGCAAGATGCTTCAACAAGAAAAAATGGCTTTCCTGTGTCCAAAGCTTATTTTCATATATACCACAATATATATAAAAAACAATATTAAAAATATCACTAAAATGTACACCAAGAAACTGAAACGAGAATTCAAGGTACAAAAAAGCATTCAAAATAAAAGAGCAAATTAAAATCCTTTTTGCACCGACTGGTCATGAACAAAAATGGCGCTTTCAGGACGTTTCTTGGACAAGATGAGATCCCTCCATCTTCCTTAGTGCAGTCTAAAAAGAGGTGTTTGGTCAGTTTGGGCATAAATCCCAGAATGGTCTCAAAAATCCAGTGAGAAGAGGGAAGGTGACTTCAAGGGAGCGAATGTTGGACTATAATGGACTATACAAAGCAAACCAGGCGACAAATAACTTACAATAACTTAGAAACAGGAGTGAGAGGGGGCGGGGCTTGGTGCGCACATCAAAAGTGGCAGCTGGATTTCAGTGCAGTGCCTTGGATTGCAGTAAAGCTGATTTGAGAGAGATGAAGTTTTACTGTTTAGTGAGTGAGTAATCATGATTGTCTTATTTGAGTTCAGTGTCTCTGGGAGTACAGTGAGACGGTGAGGCGTTCTCAGCGGTGGTGGTCAGCATGTGGCGGTTTGAAGCGGGGGGGGGGGCAAAGTTCAAGGGGTTCGAGGAGACGGGGGAGGAGGTGGGAGGGGACAGGTGGCGGGAAGGGAAGGGAGGGGGCAAGTGGGAGGGGGCAGGGTCCTCTGAGAAGTGGAGGTTCAGGTTGGACTGTTCAGGTCTTCATGGAATCTAGCAGGCCTCCATCTCTAGCAGAGGGCCCGGAGCTGCTGCCTTCGCTTTGCATGTGGAGAAGTTGTTTCTCTTTCCTCCTGTGAAACAAACACATAAAAAACAAACATTAGGCACTTTAAATACTAGTATGTTAATATAGGTTTACATTATTTTGTTTTAAAATGATAGATTTGCAACCACTTTCATAACCGGTGACAAATCAGCTGCATACCTTTAGCTGTGTTTTGTTTTATTCACAAATGTTTAACGCACAAATCCTGCAAATTTAGACTGGGTTTTTCTCTCAAACTGAAAACACTTTGTTCAACCGTGTGACGTCATGTTGTGGTAATACAGGAAGTGCTCCACTGTGTCACTTCTGATATATTTTTGATGAGGTAACTACATTGTAACATGGTTTAAAGCAGGCATGTCCAAACTAAATGAGGCCCTCAAACAATTTTTTCCAGATGAATTGGCCCAAATTATCTCGCATCAATTAAAAATGAACTTTTTGCTGCAAGTTTTTTTTTTAATCTACATTGATAAAGCGAATATTTTACTGTTTCGAGTGTGGATTTTAAGGATCTTAGCATGAATAAAGACTGATGGATCATTCTAATGTGTTAAACCTGCACATATTTTAATTTTTCACTGTATTGTCATCAGTCTACGGCCCTCGATCGGCCCTCTGCTTCGTCTGTGTTTAGATACGTGGCCCTTGATGAAAAAAGTTTGGACACCCCTGGTTTAAAGAGTCCTTAAACATCCTCTCAGAGCTTTACTCCGCCCCTAAGCAAAATCTGAAAAATCTGGTGTGGGGAGGACTCTGGAGTGGTGATTGACAGCCGACTGACAACCACAACAATCCAATACGGTGCGGACTGATGCGATCCGGACTTAGAAACAGAGCGGACATTTGTGCTTGGATCACGGCGTTTCCCTTTTTTCCTCCAGACACGCGGGGCATCGCGTTGCCCAGCGGTGCCAGGTGGGGGCGGGACTGAAGGGAGCTTCTCACGTACCGCTCGTAGACGCCAGTGACTGTGCTCGTCATGTAATAACTCTGTGTCTGACTCATTGGCGGCTGTTAGTCCAACCCAAAGAGACAAATGTACTGACTGTATCTGATCCTAAAGAGGCTGGTACAGACATGACTTTTGACTCAAAAGATTTTCAACCAATATGCTCTAAAATACCAAAATAACTCATGGGGTAGGTATACATTTCTATTTTAGACCAATTTACAAAGCTAATCAGTAGGAAAAAAAGTGATTTTGGTGTCTAGTGGCTCTTTAAAGATGCTTTAAGACCTTTCATACAATTGCCACTTTTAAATGCAAATACTTTTTACAATTAAAAGTCATTGTACTTGCGAATAAAGAGCACGATGGTAAATGAGCTGTGATAACAACGAACGGGAAACTCCAAAAACAAAAATTAAGCTTGTGACTACAAACTGAGGGTTTATTAGCAGCATCTGTTTACAGTTTTACATGGTGTCACCATCTTTGTGTGGGGGCTGCAATTAATCACATTGTGGGGGGGACGAGAATCTGTAGAGTCAGTTCTTGGAGACCAGCCTCACTTACAGGCTCCAAAACAAGTTCCCATGACGTATAAGCCTTATTATTAGATCATCAACGTGATTTTAAGTCCAAATATGGTTTAGATTAAGGTTAGGCAAGTAGTAGCTATGGTTAAAGTTAAGATCAGTCTTCACGAAACAAATTTAAGCCAATATATGTCTGTGTAATCGTCGTCCAGGTAGAATCCGTGAAAAAAACAAACTGAAGAAGCTGCTTGAGTGCGCAATGAAATATCTTCACGCACTCTTCACTTTTGTCCAAATCTTTTGACAGAAATGTTTGATGATTTTTTTTTGTTTGCCAATGTAATATCTGTAAAAAGCAAGAAAATCAAAACGCGTGTGCCACCCTGTGTGTGTTTTATCTGTTAACAAGAAACAAAACGTGGCATTTACTGTCCCTAAAATGCAAAATAGGCGTGCGATTTTCTAAATGCCAAGTTCTTTTGTGAAAGTTCTGGACAAATCATTTATACCCGTAACTGAATCTTCTTTGTCAGCCGCACAGAGCTGTTGTTACTCCGTCCTATTGAGTTAAAAACCTTTCTTGTATGTTTGCTTTCAGACTGTTTGCTTCTTACATGTTATCACACAAATTCCTACACGTAAAACATGACTCAGGGGTGACACAAAGCACCATGGGTAAGGGCGTGGATTATTATCAGCCGCTATCTCACTTCAGCACAATCAGTCATTAGTATTTTTTTTGTTCGGCGTTCGGGATGATTGAAAGAGGAGGGCTTAGCGGCGGTGTTGAGCGGTACGGAAAGGTCAGAGGTCGCGGGCAGGATGTGGGCGGGTCCTGCCTTTGATCTCGTCCGTCGCGGGGGTTGGCGTGACCCAGCAGGGCTCGCTGGCTCTCCTCCGTGGCCTCATCTGACTCACACGCTCCCGGTTTCACTCTTTCAACGCCGCGTATTCTGTTCGGCATTTAAACTGGCGCGGCAGGTGGGAGACGGGAAAACAAAACCAGACAAAAAACACAACAGTGACCCGCTAAAGTTCATGGGGTAATGTTAAATAGCCGGACAAGGGTTTGGACTTGTTTGCATTGAGGTGTGAAGGTGAAAGGATTACGACGCGCTTTGTAAGAGACTCGAAGATTTATGGAGTTTGAATCAGTACGCTTTGGCCAATGAAGAAAAGGTGATTAGTTTGTGATTCTCTGGAGAAAAAAGCATCAAGTATCAGTGTGTTCAACTGTTCTTGGCATTAAATCAAATAAAAAGTACTGAGGATTTAATAACTTTCACTTTTTCTTCTTTGTATTTATGAATATTTGAACTGTAGATTCTCAACACGATGAATCAGAGGTGGGGAGTTGCAAGTCGTGACTTGGACTCGAGTCAGACTTGAGTCACTATTTTTAGGACTTGAGACTAGACTTGATAAAATGGACTAAGACTTGGGATTCAACTTGGACTTGAAGGTCAGTGACTTGGGACTTGACTCAGAGTTGAGGCCTGTGACTTGAAAAGACTTGAGAAACACTTTTAAATCTGAATTCTTTCTATTCTGACCGTAATGATTCACACTAAGATCTTGTCAAAACATTTAAAAACCAAAAAATTTACATTTCTAGGACTCTTATATACTCTATAAATACTCATATATAAATATACTATGATTTTTTTAAAGTACAATTTAGTTTAAATTCATATAAATTGCAAAAGTATAAGCTATATTTGGTACTTTGGTTTAAAGACTTGAAACTCAAAGAAGATGACTTGGACTTGACCTGGACTCATGGGCCAGTGACTCGAGATTTGACTTGGACTTGCCTGTCTTTGACTTGGGACTTGACTCGGACTTGAGGACAGACTTACTTAAGACTTGCAAAACAAAGACTTGGTTCCTCTTCTGTTATGAATGGACACATATGGAAGGTAGAAATGAAAAGATAAACTCAAAAAAATAACCAAAAACTTGCTTTGCTTTGAACCCCAACACTTTTGGAATTTGTTGAGTCTTACATGGCGCAGCTGTGAACCGAAAACCATTTCAGGAGTAAGGCTGGATATCATTAAGAAGCTGCCGATACGATACATAGGCCATGATATGCTTCTCGATACAGTGCACTTTCAGTTCGACATGATATATTTCAAATCGATTTGATGTGGTTCAATTAAAAAAAGGTTAAATCATGGCTGTGATGTTACAAGTCTTTGTTAAACCACTTCTTGTGCAAAGTTCATATGAAACACAAACATTTTACTCATCAGAACAGTGAAAATATCAAAAGTGACGCATAAACGAGTTTCCTTCCTATAAACAAGCAACAAAACTGTAGCTCTGTAACGAAATAATTTAGTAAAATATACCAAAAAATACTCTCGATACATTGATACTGTATCATCACATTAAACAATACGATATATCGATATTTTGATATTTTTGCACACAACATTCAGGAGACTTCATCAAGAAACTCATTGAGAGAAGGTCAAGGGTTTTCAGCGCGGTCAACAAAAGCAAAAGTAAAATGCGGCTACTTTGAGGATTTGAAAAAAAGCAGAAATATATAAAATGTTTACACATACTTCCATATATCTGAGGTATTCTGTATGTGTATAAAATGTGGTAAAAACCTTCACTGAAAAAGAAGGTGTGTCCAAACTTCTGACTGTAAGTAAATAATATACAGTATGGCTAAAACTGAAACTGAGACTCAAGTTGGAGCCATTTATTTGTGTCTGTTTTTATTCCAAAGTGTCTCCCAGAATAAGATTTCATGGATCTGTAGGTGCCTAGTGACAGCTCCCTTCCCTTTATAAAACTCATAAAAGCGTCTCTTTTCCCCGACTGGGAAATTGTTTGTCAAGTTGTAAAAAGTCTTCTCCTCTCTCTCGTGATCAGGGCTGCAGCTAACATAACAGTTAACTGGCATTATTGACAAGCCAAGGAGAGTTATTTTAGTCCCAGGCTGCATCAAATAGAATGTGTGATCAAAGTGGAGCGGCAGAGACAGAGGTGCGGCGATGTCTCCCGCGAATGAAAACTGTTTTGCGAAGACGAGAAAAGGAAAAAGGAGCCGTACGGTTTGGCTTCTCCCTTGTGACGGGGGCCAGGAGTGTGTTTTCGTAGCAGAGAGGAGTCAGCTGCTGCTCCGAAGGCTCAGAGACACATGGCACAGACCGCTTTAACACATGTGGATGAAAGGAGCGAGAGCGAGGCGGCGGTGACCCCGACTACGGCCTGAACGCAGAGAGAAAGAGAGAGGGATAGAGAAAGAGACAGAGAGAATGAGGAGGAGGAGGGACAGAGAGATCGAGAGGGAGACATGAGAGAGTGAGGGGGAGAGAGGAACACAGACAGCAAGAGAGGGAGAAAGAAAGACAGTGAGAAGGAGAGACACAGAGAGAGGGATAGAGAGAGAGTGGGGGAGGGAGGGGAAGAAAGGGACACAACAGAGAGGGGGAGAGGGAGAGAGAAAGAAAAAGCAGAGACAAAATGGGAAAGACAGAGAGAGAAGGATCAAAGCAGACGGGAGAGTGAGAGAAGGAGAAGAGA